ATCAGGCTGAAATGAAATTGGGTTTAACGTCCTACTGTTCTGCTACGACTGGGATAATGAAGACGGGTATATGCCATACAGTTTGCTATGAGGGTAATTTTGCCCGGGCAGCGGCGCTACGACGTACTCTTATATCGAATTCCAACAATCCAACTGCCAAGCTCCAACTGAGGTAATGATGAATGGCATACGCCATACAGTGTGCTACGGCCTACTTTTATATCGAATTCAAACTGCCAAGGGATCTTTTACGTGCACGCCAATATGTACACAGGACCTCGTTTTTCTTCTCATCCGAACGACTAGCTAGACAGCTGTCCTTGTCAGGCCCTCCGTCCTGCACGACTGACAAGGAGAAACCACGTCGGAAAATCCCGATGAACTTTCTCGACTGGGATCGAACAACTCATTGGAATACAATGTCGCCCTTGTAATTAAAAGTAGTCATATTTCATTGAACCGCGTCTCTTGTAAACTATTAATTAGTAAGGTGGGGGTGGGTTGGGTGGCCGAATGGTTAGCGTGTGCGCATTGTATCATAAGGTCTGTCATTGAGTCAACTGGTGTGGTTTCGATTCCCCGGTTGTACGTGACAAGGAGTAGGGTCGCCTGTCCAGCCTCGTGGGTTTTCTCCGGGTCCTACGATTTCCTCCCACGCCTAAGGACCCCTACGCGCAAGCGAATTATTGTAACAAAATTGAACCATATGTTAGTCCCGAAATGACCTAGTTTGTGTCAAGTGGACGTTAAACCCCATACCCTCTGCCTCGCTCTCTTAATTAGTAAGGACACTTGGCAATAAGAATATTATCTTATCTGCGTGTCAATTTCAGAACTTGTTAATTCTTAAATAAACCAATGTCAATTTTGACACCCTTTAACCTTATTTTGTTTGTTTTGAAATCAATTAAGTGAGATTTGAATAAAAACAGTAGTCGTTCGGATGGGACGAAAAACCGAGGTCCCGTGTACACATTGGCGTGCACGTAAAAGATCTCTTGACGGTTTGAATTCGATATAAGAGTAGGCCGTAGTGCCGCTGTCCGGGCAAAATTTCTCTCATAGCACACTATATGACGTATGCTCGTCTTCATTAGCCCAGTCAGAGCAGTAGGACGGTAAACCCTATTCCATTCTGAATAAAAGCAGGGTTTAACAAATATTAACTTGGTAACTTGATATTTAACAAACATTTAAGAAAATCATTTTAGTTTCAAGCAGGAAAGGATGGTAACCCGAGAACCCGGAAAAATACGCGGCTAGGTGGGCGATCCTACTTCTTGTCACGCATAAGCACAGTAGCCAAACAGCCGCTACCTTGAATCGATTACAGAGATGAAATGAAATGGAGTTTAACGTCCTACTGTTCTGCTCGTAATCTGGGCTAATGAAGACGGGCATACGCCATACAGTGTGCTATGAGGGAAATTTTGCCCGGACAGCGGCCTACTCTTACATCGAATTCCAACTGCCAAGGGATCTTTTACGTGCACGCCAATGTGTACACAGGACCTCGGGTTTTCGTCCCATCCGAACGACTAGACAGCTTTCCTTGTCAGCCCCTCCGTCCTGCATCACTGACAAGGGAGAACCACGCCGGAAAATCTGAATGAACTTTCTCGGCCAATGCAGGGATCGAACACCCGACCTCCAGGCTAGCGAGCTGGCGTCTAACCCACTTAGTCACGTGATCCCCCGAATCGATTACAGACGATAGGATTTAAAGCGTACACTTTCCCCACCCCATCCCTTTATAAGAGAGTGCGAAATGGGGTTTAACGTCCACACGACACAAGCTAAGTCATTTCGGGACTAATATATGGTTTAATTTTTTTTTATTTCAATAATTCGCTCGAGCGTAGGGGTCTTTAGCAGTGGGGAGGAAACCGAAGGACCCGCAGAAAACCCACGAGGATGGACAGGCGACCCTACTCCTTGTCACGTACAACCGGGGCCCTTTATAAGAACTCATATACTTAAACAATACACGTTGTTTGCCGCCTCTTTATACAAGACCAAGCAAATATATACCAGTGTTTGAGGTAACATGGCCCCCAAAATAGGATCGGTCCCTCGGAATCTTATTTTTTAGTAATTTGATTGGATAATATTAGATTGATTTTTAGTGCTTATCCATTCAAAATTAAGGTATCTACTAAAATTCGGATTTTATCTTTAGTTAAGATTTCGAGAAACAGGAACCTGTTTTCTAGCATTTTTAGCTTAACTACCGAGTAAGGTTCTTGAAAATAATACCGAAATGTCAGAGTGTTGGAATTTGTCTAGAGAAAAATCACGCCAAGACCGAGTTATAGGGCCTGGCAAATGAGAAAAAAAGTTTAGGGTACGCGATTTCGGCTAATGAACATAGGGTCAATGATATTTCTGTTCCCGCCCCCTGCATCGCCCATGGGAGCATGTAAGAGTTTTTTGTTAGATGTATGTATTTATCATAGAATTCCCCTGTGATACAAAATTAAACCCTACGTCACAATGTATTTTTTTATGGAATTCCCTTGTGATCCAAAAATAACCCATACGTCACAATGTATTTTTTTTATGTAATTCCCTTGTGATATAAAAATAAAGCATACGTCAGATTGTATTTCATATAAAAAAAATAATCACCGTGAAAATGTTTTTTTCTACACACAATGAATAGCCTGGTGAAATGATCGGTGTAAATCATATACTGGAATCGTCCACTGGAATTAGAGTGTCCGGTTAGTTGCTTTGTTTTCAAACCCTTACAGATCTGAGTTGAATCCTTTGTGTTTGATTTGGTTGTTTGTTTTTAATCTCGTTTGGCACAAGTAACCGTTAGAGATATGGTTTAATCTAGTATCAATGAAATTGGTGTGGATATTCGCAAGAGAGAGAGGGGGGGGGGGGCGGGTTAACGCCCACTCGACACAACTAGGTCATGTCGGGACTAACACATGGTTCCATTTTATTTCAATAATTCGCTTTCGCGTAGGGGTCTTTAGCAGTGGGAGGAAACCGGAGAACACGGAGAAATCCTACGAGGTTGGACAGGCGATCCTACTCCTTGTCACGTACAGCCGAAGAATCGAAATCACGTCAGTTGACTCAATGCCAGACCTTATGATACAACGCGCACGCGCTAACCATTCGGCCATCCACCCACCTGGATTTATGACCCCTTTAGGAATATGTAACTTGAAACCCACCATCTCACAATACTATTATATTAGTGTAAATTGTTTCAATAGCATTTAGTAATTGATTTGGAATATACAGGTCACAATTCTATGGAATACAATTACTTCTTATAACCGAGCGCCAACCTAGTGGGCTTTCTCACGGTCCTCCGGGTCCTCCGGTTTCCTCCCACTGCTAAAGACCCCTACGTGCAAGCTAATTATTGAAATAAAATTGAACCATTTAATTGTTAGTCCCGAAAGTACTCTCCGAGACACTCTCTCTCTCTGTCTCTCTCTCTCTCTCTCTCTCTGAACGACGGTTTCGTTGATAAAATATGAAAATATAACAAGACAATATATACATATACACAACAATACTTGGTTAACGCTAACCAACTAGAAACATCTTTACTGTACCGACATCGCATTAAGAACGTAGGATTGTTACATACATGTACATATTCCCCATCTGTTCTTAGTACTTGATCGATGACTGCCGAATCTAATATTAGCGTGTGTGGATAAGCTATTGTACATGTATATACCAACGAAGGGGAACACAACGGATTCCAACCCAGATCTTTAATGTTATGAAAACAAAGCAACTACCGTAGACCTTTAGTAATATGCACACCATTCATATTAGCGTGTGTGGATAACAACGAAGGGGAACACAGCGGATTCCAATCCCGATCTTTAATGTTATGACAAAAAGCAACTAACCGTACTCCTTTAGTAATATGTGTGTGGATAACAGCGAAGGGGAACACAGCGGATTCCAATCCCGATCTTTAATTGTATGAAAACAAAGCAACTAACCGCACACGTTTAGTAATATGTACACCATTCATATTAGCGTGTATGAATAACGTAATGTATACATTACACGCCGGTCGTCTTCATTAGCCCCGTCGGAGCAGAACAGTAAGACGTTAAACCCCATTCCAATCATTATATTACACGTAGAGTCGTTGATACTAGATTAATACATTATTCTACGCTAACCTATGACACGATAGATGCGAAAAACAACCAAAAGGAACACAAAGGGTTTCAACCCAAATATGAAATTGTATGAAAACAAAGTAACTAATATCGTACGCCTTTATGTAACTATCCTTGAGGAATATGAAACTATTCTCGTCTAGCATGCATCATTCAATCTACCATTAATATAAGAGTGTGGATATCGTAATGTATCTATTACATGTAGAATAATCTTAACGTTCTTTGGTATAAATGTTCCTTGTGCAATACGAGGTGATACTATAGCCAAGGCAGTGGCCTGTAGACATTTCTTCAACCTGACATGCTATCAAAACATATGCCTTTTAATATTTTATTTGTGATAAAAGGTGATACTATAGCCGAGACAGTGGACTGTCGACATTTCTTAAACCTGACAAACTTTCAAAACATATATCTTTTTTTATTGTGGTAATGGTCTGTCGTCATTTCTCATTTTCTTCTCGAGGTTCGTGGCCCTCCTTCTCGTGCAGGCTCTCCATTGTTCCCCTTTTAGTCTTAGGTTTGTATGTCGATTATGGGTTAGGGTTAGTGCCCATTACTTTCCATTTCTGATATCATCTTTGTGAAAAAAGGGCAGTCTAAAAAATTAGTCAGATCAGCCAACAATGCCGACATTTCTTAAACACGTTATATGTTTTACTGCAGCATGTGCAGTACGGGGGATATGTATGTATATTTTTACAGGGTTTCTTTTAATAAAGATTTAACCGGCCTCGTCTTTTGATTGAATAAGACCCGGTTACAAATATAGCCAGAGCAACATTTCTTAAACCTGACATAATTTAAAAACATATATCTTTCTCTTACCTGTATTTACTTCATAATGTCATTTAAATCCTTCATGTACATAGGTAAAGAATATATATCCTTAATATACACATCTTATATACCACACTTCATAGTGAGTCTATCGCTATATACCACACTATATCACATATACCACAGTTTATAACGGGCCAATAGTAATATACTCCCTCACAATATACCAGTCCAATATCTATATACCTTCGCTCTTATATCATAATATGTATCTTGTATTTACCAGTATTTAAAACGAGGCTACTAGGATATATATGACAGGTAAAAATATCAAGTTCTATTTTTAGCTTCCACCAAATAAATATACTGTTTTCCGTAGAATAAATGTAGTGAGTTGAGCGCGTGTCGGTCTCGCGCTTGTGTTGTTGTTATAGCGTATGAGTTGTGTTCTCTTGGTGTTATAAATAATGTTGTCAGCGCTTGTTGATCAATATCAGGATTTGGTGAGTGGCCTTTGATTGGTTCGTTTATAATTCGCGGTGTGTGTTTTGTTATTGAACGGCTTGTAATTGTTTGTATTTTTTTGTGTCTGAAGTTAGTGTCAGGTTTCATTGTGTGGGGTTGTCCAACTAACTGACATAAATGACACGGGCTGTTTCGGGGAGTTTGGTCGCCGCGGGTCATTCCGGCGTGGTTTCCCCTTGTCAGTGGTTCAGAGGGGGGGGGGGGTGTTTAACGTCCACTCGACACAAACTAGGTCAATTCGTGACTAACACACTGTTCAATTTCATTTCAATAATTCCCTTGCGCATAGGGGTCTTTAGCAGTGTAAAGAAACCGGAGGACCTGGAGTAAACCCACGAGGTTGGACAGGTGACCCTACACCTTGCCACGTACAGCCGGGGAATCGAAACCGCGTCAGTTGACTCAAAGTACAAATCGTCTCTCGTAATTCTGAATGAATGACAGTTTTTTTAATCCGTGGTATATTATTTTATGAATGTGATGTATTTATAACTGGCGAGACGTTAATCAACTACTACCACTACGGCATAAATGGCATGGGCTGTCTGGAGAGTTCTGGTCACCGCGGGTTGTTCCACCGTGGTTTCACCTTGTCAGTGGTGCAGAGTGCAGGGCCCAACACGGAACGATGTCTAGTCCATTCGGATGGTATGGAAAGAAAAAAAAACGAAATGAAAATGAAATGGAGTTTAACGTCCTACTGTTCTGATTCAACTAATAAAGACGGGCATAGGCCATACAGTGTGCTATGAGGGAAATTTTGCCCGGACAGCGGCACTACGGCCTACTCTTATATCGAATTCCAACTGTCAAGGGATCTTTTACGTGCACGCCCACGTGTACACGGACCTCGGCTATTCGTCCCATCCGAACGACTAGACATCTGTCCTTGGCAGGCCCTCCGTCCTGCATCACTGACAAAGGGGAACCACGTCGGAAAATCTGGATGAACTTTCTCTGCCAATGCAGAGATCGAACACCCGACCTCCGGGCTAGCGAGCCAGCGTCTTACCCACTTAGCCTCCGTGACCCCCACCATTTTTCCCGGACAGCGGCGCTACAGCCTACTGTTATATCGTATTCCAACTGTCAAGGGATCTTTTACGTGCACGATTATGTGCACACGGAACCACTGGTTTTCGTCTCATTCGAACGACTATACATTGTCCCTTGCCAGGCCCTCTGTCTTGCATTACAGACAATGGTGAACCAGACCGGAAAATCCCAATGAACTGTCTACGCCAACGCAGCGATAAACTAAAAACGAATCGCGGTTTGTACTGAAAGAGTGAGAGAGAGAGAGATGGGGTTTAACGTCCACTCGACACAAACTAGGTCATTTCGGGACTAACATATGGTTTAATTTTATTTCAATAATTCGCTTGCGCGTAGGGGTCTTTATCAGTGGGATGAAACCAGAGGACCCGGAGAAAACCCACGAGGCTCGACAGGCGGCCCTACTCCTTGTCATGTACAACCGGGGATTCGAAACCACGCCAGTTGACTCAATGACAGGCTTCATGATACAGCGCGCACGTGCTAACCACTAGGCCCCCCCCCCCCCAGTACTGAATGTGAACAGTGAATGTTGGCCCGAACGTTCGTTCGTTTCTGGGGTTTTACGTCCACTTCCACCTAAGGTGATATCGTAGACAAGTACTGAAGGTGTCAAGTTTTATAGCCTAAGCGAGAGAGAGAGAAAAATGAAGTTTAACGTCCACTCGACACAAACTAGGTCATTTCGGGATTAACACATGGTTCAATTTTATTTCAATAATTCGCTTGCGCGTAGGGGTATAGCCTAAGCGATAATCTAGCTGGAGAATACGTAAGGCAGGTTTATAAAAGTATTTAATAAATTTTGGGTGAGTATGGATTCACTTTATAAAGTATATTTAAAATTGAAATTAAATGGGGTTTAAGTCCTAATGAAGGCAATTTTGCACGGACAGCGGCGCTACCCTACGACCTATGTCGAATTCCATCCGTCTATGACTTTTAGTGTAATAAATATGTTGGTTGTTGTTTAAAGTCCGCTTCTCCCGACGGTCATATCTTAACTGTATTTTTATTTCCATTATATAGGGTCGTCCCAACACCCACAATATGCCAAAGTTACTGAATCATTTGAGAGAAGTTCGTTTGAAGTATAATATGTTCTATTTGTCACAATTTGATTTGACAGGTTTCAAACGTCATGCGCATAATGATAGCGTATTGACCTATCAGAGGACACGTCACAATCAACACGTTTCCTCTTCATCAAAAATTGAACACGCACATCAAAGTTATATATAATTATTCATATGTATATTTATTCGACGATTGACAAGGTTATAAGGGACACATAGTACACAGAAACACTGCCTGAGACATTTAAAATAAACACTAGTTACTAACTTCTTTCGTGGGAGGAGGCCGCTGTGGCTCAATCAGTAAGGTGAGAGAGAGAGAGGGAGTGAGAGAGAGAGAGAGATGGGCTAACGTCCACTCGACACAGACCAGGTTATTTCGGGACTAACATATGGTTTAATTTTATTTCAATAATTCGCTTGCGCGTAGGGGTCTTTAGCAGTGGGAGGAAACGGGAGGAGCCGTAGAAAACCCACGAGGTTGGGAAGGCGACCCTACTCCTTGTTACGTACAACTGGGGATTCGAAACCCCACCAGTTGACTCAATGACAGGCCTTATGACACAGTGGGCGCACGTGCTAACCATTCGGCCACCCAACCCCCCATTCAGTAAGGCGCTGGATTGCTAAACTGGAGGGCCCGTGTTCGATCTCGGTGTTGATCGAGAAGTTTATCGGAATTTCCCGGCGGGGTTCCCCCCTTGCAGTTGTACAGAACAGAGGACAAAGGACAATGTATAGTCGTTCGGATGGTACGATAAACCGAGGTCTCGTGTATATATTGGCGCGCAATTAAAAGAACCTTTGACAGTTGGAATTCGACATAAGAGTAGGTTGCAGTGCCGCTCACCGGATAAAATGGAGTAAGCCCCTCTTCTTTTGGACGTTAAACTCAATTTCATTTCTGTACCCTTCTTTATACGTAGACGTAATGTCTTCATTTATTTAACAGGACACTAACGGGAGACAACTCGAAATATTTGATCAGGAGTAAGACTAGTAATTCTCACGCCGATTGATTTCAATGTTAAAATCCATGCCATTTCTTGGCCTATAACAGTGGTTTTCAACCTTGTTTTGCCAATGGCACACCTTGGAACACATGAAAAGATAGCGGCACATCTGGCTAAATATATATATATATATGAAAAATATTCGAATTTTGCAAAATAAAAACATGGCAAGTCATGGACGACATACAACCGTAGGTACAGAATAGTTATAGACACATAGAGTGACTCAAACTAAATAAAGAAAAACACAGCTATGAACTTATCAGTAGACACAAATGAATACTCAGTTGGGATCACGTGGTTTTTCACATTTTCTTAGTGTGCCGTTCAAAATTTCGCGGCACACTTAGGAAGATCTTGCGGCACACTGGTTGAGAATTACTGGCCTATAACATATGCCTTGAATATTCCAATGACCGTAATCTTTACAACAACACAGGTGTGATTGTATGTCTACCCAGTGACTACAATGTCAAATTCATTTCATTCCATGGCTTATAACATTAATTTATTTAACATTCCGATAACCTTAAAGGAGCTAAATCGCTAATATTTGGGACCTAGGAATTGATACACATGGGTCGCCACGCATACAATAATATAATATGAATGTATATAAATTGATTTACATCCAATCGTTTCTATTTTTACTGTAATTTCTAATCAGTTAGGTTCGGCGAAATACGCCAGTATTCTCAATCGAATTTCAATCTCTAGCGTCTGGTTATTCCAGTCTACGCCGATAGTATCTATTAGGCATGCTCTCCAGATAAGAATATAGCGTCACCGTTTGACATGACTTGTGGAATATGCCTAGCCTCGTTTTTCGAATCCCTTATTACAAACAGCGCTGAAACGCCTTATGCTACACGATTCGTGTACCAATTGTAAAATGTTTATTTTGTCTTAAATATTGGATAACAGAAGGCCATCTTTTCCCGGTAAGATCACAACCTCAATGTTGATTTAAACCGACAAATAAATCGTGTTTTCAATGTCGAAGATTTTGGATGATATTGAGTTAGATTTAGCTATTTTAATCTTTACAACAACAACCCATCATTAGGGTGACCCACCATAAATAAATATCTCCATATATCTCGACAATTACGCCACAATATTTATATATATACCAAGCCTCAAATCAGTTTCACACAATTATAGTCACTAAATAAACGATCATGTTGTACTTAATAAGCTATGACCATTAATCACGTATAAATAATAGACTGAAAACTGGTTCCAAGAGGCGTCCATAACATCCAGACACTTATGAGTAAAAGATAGGTTACGTGCCCTTGTTTTGAAATTAGTCTCGCTTAACCAGTCTATCGATCATTCTACGTCTGATTGACAGGTCGGGATAATCAAGACTACTTTTTTACGAAACATAACAGAAAGCTAGAACAAGAAATTGAATTTAGAAATAAGCACGTTAGGTAGCTCAACAATCGTTTTAAGAAGCTTGTAAAAGTAAAATGAAACTACTACTAGTATCATGTTCCTGTCTAACCCGAGTGATTCAGAGATATTATTTGTACTAAACCAAAAGATGCCGCTCTTAACGGTACAGTAAATGATAAAGCGATTTAAAAAATGAAACGAACGTAATTTCTAAATCTGCTGTAATAACCAAGAAGCTTAATTTTACTGCTATTCAAAATCGTCAACAAATAAATTTTTTACGGCTGTAATAGTTGATAGATTTGTAGAGAATTGCACGTGCCAT